ACTTCGCTTTTTCCTACTGACGACGTAAAGCGGGTGGAAAATTGAAGCCACGTTCGAAGAACCAGGGACACTGCAGAGTGGAACGACAGGTCTCGCATGAGTGTGACAGGAATTATTATCCCCTTGAGATGTGTGCGTTATTTCTATTTAATTCATGACCATCTTTACAGGACTATGGAGTTACTTCAATCTGTTTTTCCCCCCATTTCCTTCAATGTTGGTAAAGAATAAACACGCTCCTCGTACATCACCAGATGTTCAATACAATGAACGTGCAGTGTCTCAACTGCGGAAGTGAACAGTTTTACACAATTCTTCGCCTCATTTAAGTATGGAAAGTCCCCATGGTGCAGTCTTTCTTGAAAGCTGGTTAAGAAATCTCCCGCTATTATAGAACCTGAAGACTCGTCTCCAGTGTTCACAAAAGTCCACCATTAAACGAACACAAGCCACTTAAATCTGGCTTATCTTCATGCCCCGTAAGATATAGTGTTTCCACAGCGGCGAGTCTGAAGATTGCTGTCTTCTGGGTTGTTGCGCCGCGTCATCACCCTGATGACGGAGGCAGCATGACCTCCGAAACGTTGATGGACATCTACCAGACTACACGGCGCAACAATCCAGAAGACATCAATCCTCTTCATACCCAATTTATCCCAGGTCCATTTTATTATTCTCCAACTGGGCAGCTACTTCGTTTCAAGTTTTCCGGTTTGAATTTTGAAATAGTTTTCATTTCCATGCGTGTTGGTAAAATCAGCGGTTGGCACATCTTCGGAAAACAATTGAATGGCCTAACATGTTACGGTCATCTCGTTTCGTGGGACTGATTCGGTTTGTAAAACTGGATATTTATACAATCAGACACAGAATCCGGTGTTCTTCCTAGCAACGCCTTGCAAGGTCGCAAGCTGCATGTACGGACCTGTTGGCTGCAAGATGTAGCCTAACGGATGTAGTAGTCGCATTCCCTTCCTTATAAACCATTAACTTGCACATTTTCAGTGCAGGGAAACCGACTGAGACATTGCACAGCGGCTGAAAACTGCGCATACTACCTGTTAACCACTGACAAATCTAAAAGAGATATAGAAAACTAGACATAAATTATACTAAAGCATACTTATAACATAATCACAAGCATGTTTACGTTTTGTTGATAAAATAAGCATCTTACAGTACATATCCCATTTATTTTGGTCAGAATCAAAAGTCAGAAATTTATGTGTAAACTACGCACATTATTACTGATTCCATCAATTTGCTTACTTTGTTCCTTTCTCCCTTTGTTTCCTCACTCGTTTTCTTCCGTTCCGCTTTTCACTTCTACCTGCACAATAAAGTACTCAGCACATATTCTGTCTGTGACAGGAAATGTTCCTTCTCATATGAATTCACGGAAAAGAAACGTATGAACATAAAACAGTAAATATTCTTGAGGACTTTTATCCATTATTGTTTCATTTCCATTTATTATAAAGGTAACTTTACGTTAGTTTTCACTCTGCATTGAGACAGAGAATTTCGCTATAAAAATAGGTTCCCTTTTATACAAGTTTTACTGTGCACTGGTTGTTCGTTTAACGATTGTCACGACTGTGACTGATGAATTTGATTGACATGAGGAACGCAGGGATGCAGAAATTTGATGACGATGATGAACATTGTTAGTATCCACTCGTTCATTGTCTTATTTGTGTTATCTGCGCAGAAGACTGCAACGGACGTTATTATTATTAGAAATTCAAGGAAACGTTTGGCAGGTTTCTAATAATAAATAAATTAAGGGTTGTAGAAATACATATTTCGAGTTTCTTGGTGAATTAAAGGTGAACTGCACCGAAAAATGAACTGCGATACAAAACGCATCTATAAAAATGTCCTTATTAAAACAACTCAATTCAAGGTGGCTATATTCAGGGTTGTTGCGCTGTGTAGTCTGGTAGGAATTTACAGACATTTCAGATGTCCTTGTTGTCTCCATCATGACTCACAGCCGCGAAAACCTCAAATCCTATTAACAATTCAATCGATGTAATATAAACAATTTTTTTAAGTTGGTACTACGGTATATTAGTTTTATTGTATGCACAAGAGTGACACAATATAGCATATATATGTCAGTGGAGTACACATGATTTGCAAATGCGTTCTCTACGATTCCTCTTTTCTCATTGGCCTTGAAGTTAATTTACTGCTGAGACAAAGTTATTATTGCAGATTCAAATGATATGTTGCAAATCTAATCACTATGCACATAGCGTGATGTATTTCTTATATTTCGTTAAATAAGCATCGTACCGAAGAATATTTCAAACGAAAGTTGTAGGTCTCAATGGGATCTATATTTTATACCATTCGCAAATATTTGTACCATGAACCGTTGATGAAAAAAGCTGTGAATTTCGATACGAGCTGCACTTAAACAATGCAGAATGTGACAATGTAATATGAATACAATAAGCGATGTAATACAAACCATAATTAATACCCTGCAGATGGAAGTATAGGATATGTTTCTCCGGAAGTTTGGTTAACTGCAACCCAGAGGACTGCAATCTGAACTTTTTGTCTGGACTCAAACACCAATCGAAATCCGTTTGTTCTTTCCGGATATGAAATGTGCGAACATACATACCTCCCTATTCTGCGTCCATTTTAAGAACTTAGCAATAAATTAAAATTAAACTGGAATATATTTTTGTCTCATCAATATTTTTGTTCGTATTTGAATTTCGTAAATATGCAGGCACTTAACCTCATCTGCTCTTTTAATCCAAGTGTTTGGAGTGTGGGTACGCTTAATTAAATCACGAAACATGGCAGCTCGCGTCTTAAAGAATGCCGCTTCGCCCACACATTACCACGAAAGAGGAATTGCACTCAGTGAACAAGTGAAACTTCAGGACAAGTAGAAACTAGCCACAAAGTTGTTTCTGCATTTCCGGCCCATCAGAGAAATCTGCGACGTTGCGATACGGCGGAGCTGACGCGTTACCACGCGATAATGAAAGTCCACTCTTACGACGACTCCTAAACCAAGTCACTGCAATATTTAAAGACGGGCCGAAGAGTTTGTGATTTCAAGTCCACAAAATTTTACTCGTTGATTCTGGTGAAGAAACATCGAAAAAGTGTCAAGTAAATGACGAAGTGCATTTTGAGGTTGGGAGGTGGACGGCACTGGCTCAGGGTCATTTACAGTGGCGGTTTTCCGTATCAACGATGTCGTACTAACAAGTCCCGCTATGAGTGTAGAGGGGCATATCTTATTGAAAATGGTCGTCTTATGGGATGTTGTGACGTGCAGTCTGGTAGATAGCTATTAGCATACGTTTTCAGTGGTGCTTACTGCCTCCATCGGCCAGGCGATGAGTCCTTGTTCATGGAGGCAATAAGCATCTCTGAAACGTCGGTCAGTATCCACCAGACCACACGTCGCAATGTCCCGGAAGACCCGTCGCCGTGTGAACCTAAATCTGACAGACGAATCCTTGTGACTTTTAAAATTAAATATTTATAAAGATGGCAGCTGCTGACAATAGCCCGCCATAGGATCCTATCAAGTCCCAAGCCAGTTTATATCAGTTTAACCTAAAATGTATTTTAATTCTTATCGATTTTAATATTATCTTCCCGTGTCCTCGGTCTTCCAAGTGGGAGCCTTCGCAATCAAACTTCTTTCAAAGTTTCATAAACAATGTTAGAGTTTTCACCCCCCCCCCCAGGTGCTGGACCACCCTTGAGCATTCTTTTATTCTGCTGATCAAGAAATTTCCTGTAGTTATTTAACCCAGAATCTCTTTTCCACCCGCATCAGAAAACCCTGCCATTAGGTCTTAAGCTATACAAGTTGAAACCAGAAACCAAGTCTGCATCTTCACAGCCTACAGGGAGTTTCTAAAGTGTGTTTCAATAGTAATTTCCTGTCTATATCACGTCTACAAGTACTCTCTTTTCACGCGGTTTTCAAATCTGAATTCTGTATGCTTATTTTCATACCCCTCTGGAGATGCCATCTCATTTTACTTGATGTAATGACTCCCCTGGGAGAATCAGAACCTTGGTGGGTAATTGTTTTTACATATATAGTGCATGAAACTGCTACGGGACAGCCTGTACTTTCATTAGTAAATGTAATTAAAAGAAACCCTTTTGTTTCTGTTTTCCGTTATTAACCCATCATCTCTACTAGTACAATGCAAATATTATGGCATTCAAAAGATTGGAGTATTGTACTGTTTACATAGGAGAAGGAAGGACTGCCTGAGAAAATATAAACTTTCTCTATTTTAATAAAGTAGATTCCGGTTAATTGGGCCATCGGTTAATCGAGATAGCCGTTTATTTGGGACAAATCTTAAAGAACAAACCTTTTTAACACTTTACGTGGGACTTCGCATAATTGGGGCAGCCACTTAATTGTGCCAAAGTGTTCTAGTCCCGATGTGTCCCAATTAACAGGAATACACTGTACATAAAACCTGTTTAAAATGGATTAAACTTAACCCTGCCATGAAAAGAAATTTTCATCGGTCCCGAGAATTTCAAGCAAAAATGAATCTGAAGTTTCTTCTAAGAAACGAATGTACGGAAATGAAGGGGGGGGAAAGGCCCGCGACAACATTTGTTTTCTGTTTAAATAATAACATTTACCGTTACTGCTGCTTTCTGGAGCTATCTGAGAAGGAACACTCCTGCTAAAGATAAGAAATTAAACTACACCGTCAACAAAGAAAGGGAAAAGCGCACCACAATACAGCCGTGGTTTCAATAAACATGAAGTATGCACTGCGCAATGTTCTTTGTGAAAAATTAAGTACTGATGCCTGTGTGAAACCGAAACATCAAACGAAAATATGATTTTGTCCCTTTCAATTCATTTTTAAGCAGGTTTTATCTAATTAAGATATATTTCAGGCCGGATTCCGTGACGTAATTCGCCATTATAAAAAATCTCCCCATGGAACTCTTGGAAACATTGTAATGCGATTACTTACGTCTACCGTGTTAACGGGGATAGCAGACGTGTTGATGACGGTACATTCGCTCTGTGGTGACGTTACTTGGTGCTGCTGATGTTTTTGTGGGGAGATGCGAGCTGGGAAGCTCAGTGTCTTGGTCCACTGGGCCAGGCTACGAACCATTCTGGCACGATCCAACATAAACCACAATCACAAGTGCTAGCTAATACTTTGACCGTGATATTTCGGCACCAGTCTTTTTTTATTTCTGATTACGTCCTCCTTATTTCTTTGTGTATAAATCGTTTATAGCTCTCCGTCAATTACCCTCAGCATCAAATTCTTATTATCTACCAAAGGAAAGTATCCTATTCCCAAATCTTCCCTACCCTACACACAGCCAGCCACAGCGACATCTGTTCAGTTGGGGTATATCTTGTCCCTTTTTTCCCTCGTCAGGAGAACCACCAGCTGCAGCAATATGGTCACAATATGTTCCATCTGAGAGTTCGGGAACAATGCGATCGCTTCTTCCAGCTCAGTCCACAGTAATGCGTTTCTCCTTCCAACACTTCTACGCTGATCAAAAAATGTTTATTTTTCAACTTATTGTTGCTTGTTGTAAAATTCAGTTCTTCCAGTTTTTGTCTAATCAAGAATGCGGTTATAACTAACTTACTGTTGCTCTTTCAACAATAATGCTTTTCTTATCACTGTTGTTGCTGTTCACTATTAACACACTTCCCGTTCAGCACGATTATAATCTTGCAGAATATAAGTTTCCTTGTAAGTCAAAATTCTTTGTTCATTACTGAAAGTTCGCGAAAACGTAGATTTTGTCTATCGAATGAGCAGCTTCGCAGGTAACAACGCGCATCAACCTTGATGGCTATTCGGGACATGTACAAACATGCACAGGCAACAGTCCACGTCGTTAACGAAAGAGAATGTTACGAACAGCAGTAAACCGGATATTCAAGGAATACAAATGCAAAACCCATGGATGAGTCAGCCCATCGGGAAAGCTTTGCTCAGATTAGAATTTAAGTATCTATGTGCCCATAGAACTGGTCACAGAATCATGCTGGTAGGATAATTTACCAGCTGACCAGTGATTTTAAAATAAATCTTGTTCGCATAAAACTTTGTTTGCTTTCAATCTTCTTAAATCTTTCTCGAAAAGTAACTCTTTGCAAGCAAATAAAATGAAATTTCCTGCTTCTGAATAATTCTCGACATACACCCACACTTTTGTTATTGTAATCGAAGTCTGTTGGATACGGTTGCTTATTATTCTTCTACCTGCACAGATTGAATACCAAACAAAAACGTGATTACGTAATACTTCTACAATTCTTAACCTTTTATAGGAGAGTAATAACAATATTAAGCGCGTGTTAAGTGTCAACTAAATATTCAAATCACGGTGTTTATTTATGGAGTTCGTTTGGTTCATGTAACAAGCAATTATATTTTTAAACACCTTCTAATTACTGATAGTAACACAAATGAGACGTGTTTTCTCAGGAATGAAAATCGAATGTTTAAATATCATTAAGTTGAGCTACTGAGTTATTACACCACTGACAAAATAGATAATATTTGTTCAAGTTTAACACACGCATGAAACACAATGATGTACCGATTCACTGTTGACGTCACTAGACCGAATGTGCGAAGTTTTTCGTATGCTTTGTCACACTACCTTCGCACACGTGTAGCACACAGCATCCCGGGAGCATGGAGCCACGATGAACGAACTCCTTCCTGCTTCAAGCCTCTCGTGGCACTGACATCTCTTGCCCAGTGACGCCACGCTTTTGGCCTCTCCTCAATGAACGTTACACAAGCGAGCAGCTGACCGCTATCGTCTCGTGACCGACAGATGGCTCAGGAACCGGACGTTCTTCGATAGTGGGGAAGGCTTTCTTTCTGCGGTTGCTTTGTGTCTTGCTGCCTTGTAACATTTGTTCGAACACATGTGCAACAACCATCTGTACTGCGATATATCAAACCTTTGTTTCTCCCTTCTATATTTTTCCGAAAGACAACCCTCACTTGGCACTCGGGTGGCCACTAAAATTTTAACATTAAGCCAAACCATTTTCCGAGAGGTAGAATGATAGGATTCACGCCTTACACTTCGGCAACTTCTCCGACACAATCGTAGTACCTATAATCGAAACAAATGTTTGCAGGGGTTTGCGTTAACGTATGTAGCAGTTCGATATAAATATGAAATTTGTGGAGCGCGTACATGTATGTAAGAACTGTTTTGTGAATGAGCAAATTGTGACTTTTACTGTTCAGTAAATGAAAATAGCTCAACGGCATCATCTGGAGTTAGATGTACGTGTTTAGAACGTCGGACACCGTAAGGGAATATTTCTGACTTTTACTCAGACCTTCAATCAATTCGAATGCTGCAGCGATAACACTGTCCCTTTCGCATCCATCATTTGCATTTCACCATACCTAGTAATTTTTATCTCATCTGATGCCGCATTAACTCTGCAGATGATACACACGAAATAAACAAATAAATTAATAAATAAGTAATATTGAAGACACCAGTCTGTGGGTTGTAGCGCCGTGTAGTCTGGTAGAAGTTTACCAACGTTTCAGAGGCCCTTGCTCATCGCCCTGATGATGGAAGCAGCAAGGACCTTCGGACTTACCGCAGTGAAAACCTCAAATTAATCAATATATGTACTCTCACTATCTCTCTTTCTTCCCTTTATTTATGGCGACTTGTGTGATTATATTTATATCAAAAGAGTTCTCCAATTCCCTATTTATTTAATAACGCTGTCTCCAGCTAAAATTAGTACCATTGAATGGTAGGATGATCAATAAATAGTAAATTACAAAGGGAGAGGAAAGAAGCGGTCGTGGCTTAATTTAACATTCTATCCTGGCATTTGGGTAGGGAGCCTGAGTAAAACCACGATAAACCTCAGTCAGGATAGCCGGTCTCTGAGCCGAAATGTGATCCTGTGACTTCCCGAAAACTACGCTGGAATACTAACCACTTAACTGCGACGTTTGGTCTCTTTAGTTCACTCACATTTCTGTTCTGTATTATTTTCTCG